CCCCAGCTGGCTACACTGCACCTGCTCCTGGCTACGGCGTACCCCCACCAGGCTTCAGCGCCCCTGCTCCTGGCTACAGCGCCCCTCCATCTGGCTTCAGCGCCCCACCGGCCAACTACAGTGCGCCTGCCCCTGGCTACAGCGCGCCCCCAGCGAGTTACAGCACCCCTGTACCAGCCTTCAACGCGCCTCCCACCAGCTACAGCACGCCTGATGTCTCCCAACCCAGGCCACCCCAGCAGCAGCCACCACCACAGCCACAGGGCCGTAAGCGGCCATACGAGGAGCCGCGAGGCAGGGGCTACTATGAGCACCGGGAAGACAAGAGGTGAGGGGGGTCGCGGGCTCTCAGCCCGGTCCAGGGGTTCCTGCACTGGGGAAGCTGGGGAGTCTGTACCTACCCACCCCCCACCCCCAGCTCAATTCCAGCTCCAGTTGCCACTCCAGCCCTCAGTTTCTCACCTGTCTGCAGTGCTACCAGCCTCTGTGCAGTGCCAGGGCATCAGCTGGCATGACACCAGGTGCTGCCAATAGCCTGGCCTCAGCTCTCATCGGAGCTGTTTCCCCCCCCCACACCCCCTGACCTGGGGACATTCCCATGTTTGCAAATGCTGTCTTTCCAGCTGGCTGGGGCTAGCGCACACCTCTAATATGTGTGAGCATCTTGATATTGGAGGAGAGGGAAAGGAGCCCCTTAAACACATGTACCCTGGCCCCCCCAACACTTTGCCTAGTAACTCACTGGATATCAGGGAGTCGCTGAGTCGTGACCTCCCCCCCTTGTTTCTGCCACAGGGGCCGGTCACCTCAGCCGCCTGCAGAGGACGATGAGGAGGACTTTGATGAGACGCTTGTGGCCATCGACACATGTGAGTGGTAGCAGTGCTGCTGGGGGGGAGCGCACACCACCACCACCACTACCTCCCCCATAGCCCTGGGGAACAGGCCCAGGATCTTGGAGCTCTCTGGGGGCTTCTGTCCCGCTTTCTTTTCTCACATGTGTAACATGCCAGCATGGGCTCAACTCGCCTCCCCAAGCCGGGGATGGGACCAGGCACTTCCTGGCTCCCAATTATGTCTTAGCCACGAGAGCAGGCTGGCAGACCCAGGCATGGAACCTAGGCATCCTGGGTCCTAGTCCTGTCTGACCCCCGGGATCAGGCTAGCCAGCCAGGGAAGGGCGGGGTTCATGCCCCTGGCTGGCCACAGCGCAGCCATGCCCTGCCTCACCTCCACGTCGCCTCCTTTCCCCAGACAACTGCGACCTGCACTTCAAAGTAGCCCGGGACCGATACAGCGGCTACCCACTGACCATTGAGGGCTTCGCCTACCTGTGGTCAGGTGCCCGTGCCACCTATGGTGTACGGCAGGGCCGTGTCTGCTACGAGATGAAGGTATGGGGTGGGGGGTGGGCCCACACGTTCCCTCAGCTCCTTGGACCACAGTGGGTTCTGTGGCTGCCAGGATGCCTAGATAGATATCAAGGGCTTGGCTGGGGTTAAAACCTCTTCCCTGCCTCTCTCCCTGGCTCCCAAACCCATCCAGGACACTCTGATGTTCCTCCCTGGGGGTCAAAGCACCTCATTCAGCCCCTCCCCCCACCTTAACCCCAACTTCCTCCTTGCCCCTGGTACCTGGGGCCCAGAGGGGGATTCTCAAGCCACCTCCCCTGCCCTCAGGTCAACGAAGAGATCTCGGTGAAGCACCTGCCCTCCACGGAGCCGGACCCCCACGTGGTGCGCATCGGCTGGTCACTGGACTCCTGCAGCACGCAGCTGGGTAAGGGGCACAGGGCTAGGGCAGACATCGTGAGGCCCTGTGACCTACCCCAGAGTGTCTGGGGGTGGCGGGGTGGGGAGGGCCGTGCTCTGGGCCTGACCTGAGCTGGCCTCTAGGGTTGGAGCAGAGGCAGTCGTCGTTGTCGTCTGTCCATGTCGTCGTCATCCCCCCCCCTCCCCCCCAAGGCCCCTTCAATTGAGGGAGCCACATAAGGCCGGCTGCTGGGTCCTGGCATTTCTCCTTCAGCCTCAGAGCCGGGTCAGGGAAAGTGAGGCACAGGGGCATGGCGGGAGGGGTTCGTCTGGGTCACCCCGGTTCCCTTGGCAGGAGAGGAGCTCTTTTCCTACGGCTATGGTGGCACTGGCAAGAAGTCCACTAACTGCAAGTTCGAGAACTACGGCGAGACCTTCACTGAGAACGACGTCATCGCCTGCCTCGCGGTGAGGGCACCCCCACCCCCACAAGCCCCCCCCCTTCGCTCTGCCTGGGGCAGCCACCGGAGGGCACCAGAGTCTAGGCCGAGCGTCCTGACTCAGAACTGAGCTGTGGCTCAAGGCATAGTCCTGATCTGGGTGTAACCCCCCAGGCCAAGCTGGCATATGGGACCTTGCCATGGCTCAAGACAGTCCTGGGGTTGGGGGGCATAGGCCAGGTCTGTGTGGCCCCTGGAGGGGGAACCTCAAACCCAGGAGGCAGCTGCAGCCCTGGGGGGTTATCTGTAGCAACCTTAAGCCTCCCCCAGAGGTGCTGGTTCAGCCCAGGCTGGGGATGGGGCCTTGTCTGTGCCAACACTCCTGTTGGCACCAACCCGGCAGAATTCTGGCCGAAGGGTCTTGCCCCTGGGCTCAGGCTCAGCCCCACGCTGCACTGGGGGCAGGAAGGGATTTCACCCCTGCTCATACTGGCCTCCACTGGGGGGGTTCGCCTTCCTCTGCAGCGGGGGCATGGCCTCAGCCTGGGCTCTGTCCGGCGCCCGTGACCCCGCTTTGGCAGCAGCAGGACGTTGGCAGCCACAGCCCCCCTGCCTTCCCTGGGGCTGTGGTGGGTGCGAAGCCTGGTGTGGTGTCAGGGCTGACGGTCCTTTGCTTAGAGGTTTGATGCTGGTTTGGACCAGGCTGATCCTGCCTCAGGCCGGGGGTCAGCCTAGCTGTCACCTTTGGGGGTCCCTTCCAGCTCCACAGCTCCAGGACTGTAGTTCTTTCCTGGCCTTGCAGACGGCCTGTAGCTTGACTTACAGCCCTTCATTTGGGTGTAGTTACATGAATTCGGATGTAGAAATGCCTCAGGCAGGTGGTCAGCCTGGATGTGATCTCTGGGGGTCCCTTCTAGCCCAACTTCTCTATGACCCTGTGCCTGGGCTGGTTTGGATAGGGTCTCTCCTGCCTCAGGCAGGGGGTTGGGCTGGATGCGACCTCTGGGGGTCCCTTCTAGCCCTGCTTTTCTGTGACCAGCACTGACAGCTCCATCCCCCCAACCCCAGGACTTTGAGTGCGGGGAGGAGGTGGAGTTGTCCTTCATGAAGAACGGCAAGTGGCTGGGTGTGGCCTACCGGGTGCGGAAGGAGGCGCTGGGCGGCCAGGCCCTCTTCCCCCATGTCCTGGTCAAGAACTGTGCCATCGAGTTCAACTTCGGGCAACGCGACGACACCTACTTCTCCGTCCCGCCCGGCTTCACCTTCATCCAGCACCTGCCGCTGGCTGACCGTGTCCGTGGCACTGTGGGCCCCAAGAGCAAGGCTGAATGCGAGGTAGGTTGGGGGTGAGGGTTTGGAAGAGGTGTGAGCTTGGGGACCTGGACTCCCTTGGCATCTCCGTGCCTCACTTTCCTGCCTCACAACGGACCGGGCTTGCCCTGCAGATCCTCATGATGGTCGGCCTCCCCGCTGCTGGCAAGACCACGTGGGCCATCAAGCACGCGGCTGCCAACCCCTCCAAGAAGTACAACATCCTGGGCACCAACGCCATCATGGACAAAATGCGGGTGAGAGACAGGGGAGGGAGGGGCGGGGTCTTCTGCATGGCTCCTCCCCCTGCCACTTGCAGGCAGCTCCCACCCCAAGGCGGAGTTGAGGGGTGTGGGGTGGGTCTCTTGGGGGTGGAAACCAGGTGTCCTGGCGGCTGTGCTCTGACCCACTCACCTCCCAGAGCTTGGGTGGAACCCGGGCACCCTGACTCCCAGTCGCATCTTAGCCATGAGATTGGGCTAGCAGACCCAGGTGTCCTAGCCCTGCCCCTTCCCCAACCACCTGCCGCACCCACGCTCCCCCCTTGCTTCCAAGCCATACTGTGACACCCTTTTCCCCGCTCCCTCTCTGCCAGGTGATGGGGCTTCGGCGCCAGCGCAACTACGCAGGGCGCTGGGACGTGCTGATCCAGCAGGCCACGCAGTGCCTCAACCGCCTCATCCAGATCGCTGCCCGCAAGAAGCGCAACTACATCCTGGACCAGGTACGTAGGACAGCGCATGTGCGTGTCCCCTGCCTTCACCATGGCAGGGCCACTGCATGCAGCAGGGTGCTTGCTGGTGCCCCCCTGAGAGATGGGGCTGGAGGAGAGTTGGGAGAGGGGGGGAACTACTCACCCCTGGGGGCTGCCAGCTTAGGACCTGAGCCCCACATGATGCGGGTAACCTGTTCGTGGGGCACAGGGCAGATAGGGGAGGGAGCAGAAAGCAGAACAGCAGATGGGGCAGGGAGCCCAGAGCAGTGACAGATGAGGCGTGGGAGCCAGGGCAGGGAGTAGAAAGCAGAGCAATGGATGGGACAGGAGGCCCAGGGCAGGGAACAGAAAGCAGAGCGGTCAATGGGGAAGTGGTTGCAGAGGAGGAGTGGAATGAGTGACATTGCCCCTCCCCACTTCCTCCCAGACTAACGTGTATGGCTCAGCCCAGCGGCGGAAAATGCGCCCCTTCGAGGGCTTCCAGCGCAAGGCCATCGTCATCTGCCCCACGGACGATGACCTCAATGACCGCACCGTGAAGCGCACGGACGAGGAGGGCAAGGATGTGCCCGACCACGCCGTGCTGGAAATGAAAGGTGGGGGCCGCAGGCCATGCTGGGGGCAGCCTTGTATTGTTTCTCGCGCTCCCCCCCCACCCCAACCAGGCATCTGGGGGCTTGGTCCTTGGATGCAGCTTGAGTGTTGCCCTGGGGATTGGTCGCTGAGTGGCATCCGTGCCCCTCTATCCCCACTGTCCCTATGCCCAAAGGTGGGGGGCAGCTCTGTCCAAACACCCCCTGCTCCAGGGGTCCCATCCCCATAAGGGGGGGAGCCGTGGCGTCCTCGTTCATCCACCCCCTGACACAAGGCGGTGGGGGGTGGAGCAGGGACAAGCTGGGGTGGGGGGCAGCTGCTTGATGCTCCTGTTCTCCGCTCCCCCAAGCCAACTTCACACTGCCCGAGGCGGGCGACTTCCTGGACACGGTGGTGTATGTGGAGCTGCAGCGCGCCGAGGCCGAGGTGCTGGTGAAGCAGTACAACGAGGAGGGCCGCCGCGCCGGGCCCCCTCCTGAGAAGCGCTTCGACACCCGACCTGGAGGGGGCCGCTTCCC